GGCCAGACCGATGTAGCCCTACTCGCTGAAGAACTCACCGAGATCTACTCTACTCCTACTCCTAAGGGGTGGCCGGAGCCGAAAAATGTAAGGAACTTGTATTTGGTTGATTGTGTGTGTTTTACAATAGCCGGGGTCCAATATTTATACCCGGAGCCTAAACATGAATCCTACTTAAGCACGACTCATCACAATTTTTGGCATAGAAGAAAATATTCCTAATTTAAGATAACTTAGACCCTAATCTTTCTCTTTTTGTAGAGTCTGATATGTAGTTTCCTGGCGTCAACCGTAGCTCGTCACCGCTATCTGCTAACGTCATCCAAAGAGATCCGATTCCAGAGTCGTATTTGAATCAGCTGATGTCGATCCTTGTGCAATCGATTCCTTGATAGGTATAATTTTGGAAGCCTTTGAATTCCACGTTCTTCTTCTAAATTTTGGTGTAAACAGATAGGAAAGATATTATTGTTCTTATTATCCTATAACTATCACATGAAATATATAGGGAAGATAATTGGAGACCGGGTGGGGCTATACTTTGGATTTGGATTTGGATTTGGGCTTGGTTTGGCGACCGAGCGAGGCTCCGGTTGCATTTGTTCCACCTATGTTGATTGAGGACCGTCCGTTGTTGTGGATGGTAGTCAGGTCATGGACTTATTATCCTAAGCACATACTTGCTTATGGGAGCAGGAAGACTTGTTACTCTTTTGTCATGGGTTCCGGCTCTTTCCGGACCGACTTTTAGGGGTGGGTATTAGGTGGAGGTCTAAGTACCATACTGAGACCGGGTCTTAGGTGTTGGGGCTTGGAGTCTAAGTTTGGACGGGTACCTGGACCCCTTGACAGGAGTGAAACTGGTTGGTCTTGTTTGTGCTTGGGGTATAAGCGAGGCATGTGTTTCGGGGTACCCAGCTGGGATACATTGATTCACGAATCACTGTTTCTTTTGAGACAGTACCAACTTGGCTATGGTCTAGCATCGTAGTAAGAACTGGAATATGAAAGATGGTAAAATGGTTCTAATTGCTTACCACATGTTTGAAAGTAGCATTGGTGCTTACATAGAATAGTTAGTTAATAAACTAATGATGGCTGCTAATAAAATTAAATATAAGGACGCACGTTTAGTAATGCTCTCTACAGATACAATAACCCACAAGCTAAGTAGCCTTGCATATCCTTTGAGTCTTTTATTTTCCTTCTGTCGGGTAAGTCTTGCTGAGTACAATCGAGTACTCAGGGTTTTATTCCCCCTGTTGCAGGTGACCGATGGATGGTAGACGACTTTTGTGTGTGGAAACCTCCTGATAGGCTTAGAGAGGATTCCTTCCGTGCTATGGTCGTAGTGTTTATTTATAACCCTCACTAAAAGTTTTTAGAAGAAAAGTTTTATGATCTGTCATCATATCTGATTTATAAATGTTCACTATGTTAATGATTCACCATTAATCTTTATTTTCGCTGTAACTCTGAACATATGCTGTTCTCTGCTGCAAGATAAAAATGTAAACCTAAAATGTATAAACTCTTTTACATGTAAAACCGTCTCAATTCCACTATTGCATTCAACTTGTTTAAATACTCTAATGTGGTAATAAAGTGATGTAAGAAATAGTTAAGAATGTTGTAAGCTTTATTCTCTCATTTATGATCCGGACCGTAAAATGTGGATTTTTAGTTCTTCCTTGAAGTGTGCTCGACGGAATGGTATGATTTAGTGCACTCTTTTAGGAATGTAAGACAGGTGCTTTTAGGGAACGTTAGATCAGTCGGTTCTGCCATGCCATGAGATGGGGGTGGTTGCTCCATGGAGCGAACCGCAACTGATCCAAGAGATCCATTTGATTAGCCCAGGAGCACCGGATGCTCCTTTTTATTAGTTGGTGAACCAATGGGGCTCCGATGGATATTACGGATCGCTCCACATTAGATAACTCAATTGAATCCCACGGCAAGCGTCAATGACATGCTCTCGGTGGCGGTGGAGGTGTCGTACTGCCGGTCGGGCACGACGCAGAACGACAGAGAGTGGGCCACAGTCGGCTGCGTTCTCCCACACGGACCTTCCCATGACGGCCGAGCCACTAGCGCAGCACGCCGGCGGCAGTCGGAAATCGGCACCGGCAGGCAGCGATGAAAGCCCCGCCTAGACCAGCGCGCTGTCGCGAGATCACGAGCGCGAAAGCAGCTTGCGGTGTCCCCATGCATGGTACCGAAGGGGCCGTGGTGGCGGCAGCGACGTCAGGTCGAAGGGTTCGACCCACTCGATCCGTTGGCTCGGATGGTTCTTATCCACGGCTCCTCTGCCATGTCATGGATTGCATTAGGGGCCCATTGGATTCTAATTTTTGGGCCGGTTCGATGATCCTCTAGATCGACCTGCTCCACCCCATTGTTAATCCCGAGGAAAGTGGAAATTGAGAAAATTGAGCCGTGCGAGATGATGGAGGGCAGAGGAATGAAACGATGCAGGCAAAGCGTGCGAGACGGGGAACCAAACACGGCAGAGTAATTAGGTGAAGCAGACAAAGGTGCAATGATAGCCTGGTTGGGGCAACTAATCAGACCCGTATAGAACCCGTATAGAACGGCTCGTGTTTTGGTGATCCAAATGATTTGAGACCTTTTCCCATGTGACCCACCCCCACCCACCCACCCTATATTAGACTAGCACCCGAACGTCCGGCGCGAGGCGTGCGTCCGGACGTCGCTCCCCACACCCCCACGCCAGCTCCGTTCCGCACGTCTCCCCCGCTCGGATTCTACGCCACTCGAACGACTCGCCCCACCCACACCGCACGTCTCCACACGGGCCCACGTCGTTTGAACATCACCAACATCGAGAAGAGGAGACACCGAGGCGAGGAGGGAGATGTAACACCCGATCTACTTTGCAACATCCAAATGAAACATTTGTAACATACATTCAAAAACTGTTGAAACACTTGCAACATACGTCTGAAACACTTGTAAAAACACCTGAAAATGTTTGAAAAAATCATTGCAAATTTTATGCAACATCCAGATAAACACATGCAATATATGTGTGAAATACGTGCAACATTCAGATAAATCACACTTTGCAACATACATATAGAAAAACAACTGAAACATTGGGAACAAAAGTTTGCAACATACGTGTACAACCATTGTAACATATGCAATATCCCGATCTACTTTTGCAACATCCACATGAAACACTTGCAACATCCAAATGAAACATTTGAAACACTTAAAACATACTTTTGTCACATGCGTTTCCAGCGCACAATGTCACCATGTTGCTTGGACGAATCATGAAGCTCGACACCACCACAGCACATGGAGCTCACTGGTGTACCGAAGACCTGCTCAACGGCCTGGGTGAGCACTAGTGCGAGGCGTGCAACACCTCTGGGCGAGCACCTGCTCCGCGGCCTAGGCCAACGCACCCTGGGCGCAGCAGAGGACAGGCTTAGTGCAACGAGGGATAGAGGCACCACGGGGGATGACAGTAGCAGCGCGCCAGAGCGGCCTAGCAGGGTCAGCGCCCGAGCACTACACCTCGGAGGCGGCAAGCGAGCGGATAGAAGCAAGTGAGCAGATAGAAACGACTACATGGACAAACTAATTTTTTATTTAGAAACGGGGGAGCAGGGTCTTGTGCTGGCGTCGCGCGGCCCACCAACGGTGCGTCCGGCCACCCGGACACCCGCTTCCTAGCATTAGCGATAGAGGTATGCATCAATTCCAGAAGAGGCGCCCAAATCAAACTAGTTCATCACTAACCATGTTATCTCCAAAAAAAAAAGTACTGCTACCATGTTAACACCTTTACATCCTTTACATCGGTACCACAGGAGGGTTAGAACACGTTGACAGCAAAAGGGATTACACCGGCGTTTCTTGAGACAACCATGGAAATCCTGTCCATGCAACACCTCCATAGCAGTTTCCATACCTGTATATAAAAAAAACCCTGATTACATAAATTTCATCTACATACAGTATTAACCATCTCTAACAGCAACCCAACTACTCCCTCTGTTCCAAACTGTGAGGCGTTTTGGCTTTTCTTGATTCATTGCTTCGCCCAAGGTATCAAGAGTGTATATCCTAAGTACATCACAAAAGCTACATATTTAGAAAAGTCAAAACACCTTATAATTTGGAATGGAGGGAGTACATTACAGTTTCCTGAACAAATACATATAAGTATTTCACAAAGAAGTCACCAGTATTACGTGCATATAAGTTATTTCTCCAAACTCTGTTTGTTTTCTGTAATAAAAAGATGCTTCACAGAAGAAAGAAAACTTTACCTTAGGGAAGCCATAAATTCAGCACCTCAGCATGACTATTTAGCATTCACCTGATATGAAAAGGCATGATTATTTAATATTAACCAGTATAAAGATACTTTACTAAATAAAGGTATCTAAATTATGACACCAAAGTCCAAACAAGTATATTAGAGAGGTTACCAAAAAGATCAAGATCAACTACTCATTGTTTTGCCTATTGCCAAATATGCTCAACTAAGTCTCTTTTCACTTATGTGTTCGACAAACATGGAAATCAACATTATGCGTATATCATTGAAGTATTGTATTAATGTTATTGCCTTTTTGCACTTCAGGTGGAAGAACAGTCGATGTCCTGGGCTGTCAAGTCAAAGAATATTCACGCAAATCTCCCTCATCTTTAACTATATCACGTCACAAAGAATAATAGAGGTTTTGCATTATTCTTCCAATAACCTTATGGCTCCAGAGTTGTGCTAGATTAGCACAAAATTGAAGCGAGATTGCAGCACCCCGATAACAGGACTGTTTGGGAGTAACTATGTTTTCAGACTGCATGCTTATTCCTTATTTGGACTGCATTATATTTGCCATGCATAGTGGTCACACAGATATTTTTAAGGGACGATTAGATTAGTAATGAAAAATGCAACCAAACCAGACCCAAACTACCTACATAGCTATTGCCTAAGTGCAGATAATGCAAGTACCTCAATTCTTGTTGCCAAACAATTTCTCCCGCAGAAGCTTCATGCCTATTGCATGCTCAGCTTTCAACTCATCAGTCATCTCCCTAGTGTCCATGCTCATGAAAGAGTTGTATGTTTTCAGCATGGCAGCCTCCCTCTTGAGCCTTGCCGCCTCGACCTTTGCATCAGAAACCCGCAGCTGGATCTCTATGAATTGATCATGACGTTTTTTAGCAGCAGCCTGAATATCCATGTACTTCTTCATAGCTTCACTCAAATCAGTGTCACTATCTCTGGCCTTGCCTTTGCCATTGCATTGTTTCTTGAATTCTTTCACTACTATTGGAAGTTCCTTTTCTTGGGTATCTTCAGGTGTGGGTGTGCTGTTCCCCACCTCCCCCTCATCACCCAATTTCCTTTTGTTTGATTTCTCAAGGTCCTCCAATATTGCATGCCACTTCGGTTCGTCACGAAGAACCTTCCAGCAATGCATAACTATGAATGGGCCTTCTTTATAGTCATCCAAATAAAATTGCAGAGCCTTTTCTATCAATTGGTCATCTGATTGTTCGCTGACATCACTTGATGCAGCCTTCTTCAAAGACCAGCAGAAAAAACCTACCCATCTCTTAATCTTTTGAAACCGGTCTTTGAGATGCTTCACTTTCCTCGTCCGTTTTGTCAATGTAGTGCTATTGTAGAATGCAAGTACATCTCCCCAATATTGCTCTTTCTTGCCATTACCGCTGAAAGGGTCATTGGAATACTTTAACCAGGAGCGCACCTACAATTTAGCTTACAAGGTCAGAGATAGCTTGATTCTTGGTCAAGGCCAATTTAATGATTTTATTACTTACCAATCTCAAGTCTTCATCTGGTTTCCAAGACAGGCGCTTCTCAGTCCTAACATCATCCCCATCGTCAACGTTGATGGCAGGTTTGCCTTGTGAACCCAACGCAACATGTTGAGTCATTGAACCAGGTGGTGGTTGTGGAGGCCATGGTGGCGCAAAATAAGCATGACCATTTGGGGGGAAGCTTAGAAAGCCACCAGGCATACTGCAATCAGTAGCATAGTAAAATGAGGAAATCCATGCCATGCATCGCCAAATGATACAGTTGGTACATACATTCAGAATGTGATTTCACTCAAATAGGAGAAGCAATGAACAATTCTAACTGTCAACCAAAAAGGGGCATCAACAAAAAGCAAGTTCATCATTTTTTTTTTGTGTGCTTAGACTCTGATCAGTTAATCCTTAGCAAGTTAGCAATCATATAAGCATGCATAACCTCTGGTATAAGTCGGTGTCAGAACCAAAAGAACAGAAGGATATGCAGGCATGAACAGTTCAACATTACAGGATACAAAATTCCGAAGGATCATTAACACTGAACACAAGCATCTAATTACTTGAAAGCAAAGAACAGGCTGCAGCATTTATCAACTGGAAGTCACAGGACTTCCAGGTGGAGTTGAGATCTGAGTAAAAATTTGCTACTGGTTTATCGACTCATTCCTCTACAAAACTATAATCATATAAGTGTAGGTGTAGCCCATTTCTCCGTTCCCAAACAACTAGAGATGTGACTGAAATGGCCACAGATTGCGGCACTGGCACTTGCCACCAGCCGAGACAAGCGGGCAGTAGCCAGGGACCCCACGACAAGTTGGGGAAAGCGGTCAAGGCTACCTGGCCAGCATGTGCGGGGGCGCGGAGGTAGGGACGCGGCTGCGGTCTCCCTGCACCGCGACCCCGGCGAGGCGCAAGCCCTTGCGCTGCAGGTACTCATGCACCTTCTTCTCCATCTCCTCGTCCTCCATTGCCGCCATGGGGGGCCCAGCCGGCAAGCTCTAGGGTTTAGGGCTCGGATTCGGCGAGCGAGGGAGACGGAGCCGGGAAGGAAGACGGCGAAACCCGAGACGACGAAACGGACAGAGAGAGAGAGAGAGGAAGAAAGAAGTGGTTTGGGCTTTATGTTACTGTATGGGCCGTTACTTGTTCCCTTGATTGATGGGCTTCGGAATGACTGGCCTATCAAAAACCTAAACGGACCGAGACTTGGTTTGGACTGTTTTGCGGCAGAATGGATTGGGCCAGGCAACGGCAAAAGGCCACTGGATCTGAATCTAGATTGTGAACAGAATTATAATAATTTAGATTATATATATGGACTAAAATAATCTATATGTTATTTGATCTCTGGATTAAAGATGCTAGATTATAAGATCTGGTCTTTTGAGCACATACAATCTTTCATCAGCAAGTTTGAGATGGATTATAGGATCACGATAACCTGTTAGTAGTATCATTATACTCTGAAGTATTAAACTAGGCCATTTCAGATTGTCTAGTGTTTATTTTGCTATTATATCTAAAATATAAACTCGGCTATTTTGGATTTTCTAGTGATTATTTTACATGGTTACTACTATAATCTAAGGTGGTCCAAACAGACACTGAGATGGTTAAATGGTACCGTGACTTCCAGGTGGACAACCTCTTTTTTTTTTTTTAAGGAACTTGCTATATTTCATGTGCCTGAAATATCGTATGTTTCTGGGCAATGATCTTCGCTGCTGGCTCATGAGCATGTAAGGTTGAGATTCAGCTTGATGGAGAGAAAATCAAGGCACTCCCCCGAAGAGAAGCTAGAACTGCATCTGACCATTAGCAAAAGTGTTTTTTTTTAATTAAAATAGATGCTCCCCTCCCTAAAATATATACTATGTTACGGTCCACATTAAATTGGTGGATAGACGAAAACACCATTTTATAGTTTATATATGGGCAGCCTGCACATTTTCATGTCATGATTAAACGGAATACACGAACGTGATCACGCACATCAGATGGGCCAAAGACAAACAAGATGAAAGCTTTACCAATGTGAAGGGGAGGCCGCCGCCTGGACTGATGCGGCGGTGCATATCAGGGCCGACATCAAGCGAACGCCGGCGCCACGCCTCCACGGCACACAGACTGACAGACGTGCGTGTGGCACACATGTGGCGAGGTCGGGCTCGGCCTAACCGAACCTAGCGTTCCGGCGCCCGCCCTGTCCGCCTTTGACCCCCACGGCCCCACCCCGCAACCCGCATGCAGGAGAGGACCGACCACAGGTCGGGCGTCGGATCGGAGCTGCGCGCGTTGACCGCCACGTGGTAAATTCGTTCTTTCGCCGGTGCCGGTGCTCCGTCATCGGTCTGACTGACCTGAAGCACCGGCCGGCCACCGGGCCCGGGGAAAAACAAGGAACCCGGTGTTTGACCTCCAAAATCAGACGGGATGTTCGGTCGCCGGCGACGGGTCTGCACGCTGCTGGCAGCGGCAGCCAGGCACCATCAGACCTTTCCATCAGTGCGCTGGCGTTGACCTGCATAGTACATGCAGTCAGGAGAGGCTTGCCTGATTCCAAGGAGCGAGAGTGGAAACAGGAGTTTGCAGAGACTGACAACACCTATACGAAATGCCGGTGACCATATGGGCCATGCATGCCGCGCTGGCGCCTCAGAAGTCAGAGCCAGTCGAAGGCGCACGGCGGTACGTCGCCACCGCTCAACTGGCTCGGCAAGGTCAACCCGGGAACCAAATAGCACGTCGATCAAATACTCCCGGTTTCTTCCGTTGGTCTGGTCAGTTCTCGGTTGCAAGGTCAACCTTCACCAGGCTAGGGCGATACGGCGTATAGGTGATAGGATACTAGTAGTAGTAATACTACACACAAACGAAAGGGAACCTGTGTAAGCGAAAATAGAAGAAGAAAACTTCAACTCATGTTCTCGGTACTTCGGTTGACGTTTCGCTGGATCGTCAGAGAAAACTCTTCTAGAGAATTCAGCACGCATTTGACCAATATCTTGATGCACAGTCGTACACTGGCCCCGATGGATGCGAGGGAGACGACCAGGTCCCTCTCGAACAGCAGGGTCAGCTTTTGAATAAATCAGCCTCATGCCTTCCTGAGCTGCTTTAGTACCATTCTATGATTCTATCGCCGTTTCAAATTTCAAATTTCAAATTATTATAACCCAATGGCCACGCACCAAGATCACGAAGAATCTATAATTCACATCCTCTCTTTTTTTTTTTGTCCCCGCATGTATGACACTACTACTGCTGCTCGAGAAGCCGCTGATCCCGTCGCCGCCGCGCCTTCGTGTCTCGCGCGTGCGGGTCAAGAGCTTGGTGCCGCGCCGCAGTGATAGACTTGTTGTCAAATCCGTCTACCGCGACCCGAACCCAGATATGCAGGCCAAGCGGGTCTTGCTCAGCGAGCACCCCACGGTCACCACCGGCGACGCCTGACGCGACCATCGCCAATCGGTTCCACGAGACGTTCCGAGAGCTGTTGTCGTCATCCAAGCGCGCGGCAATGCAGGAGCTCTTCCCCATGGCTGGTGCTCGTGGGAGGCGGGCGGCGACGCAGGAGCCTTGAGCAAGGGTTCGCTCAACGTCGCAAGCTCTTCGGTCGCACAGTTAGAGGCTATTCGGTGATGGTTTTTGCGGCTGATAAACCGGCTAATACTGTTTTGTTGTGAGAGAAAAGGACTATACCATAGCTGATAAGCCGGGCTGATAAGTTTAAGAGTTTGTTAGTTAGTTACAACAGCATGCGTTCCACCGCCTAGAGGTGCCTTGTGTTCGTGTTCAATCCCATCACTCATGGCACTTCGCGCGTGATGTGATGTTGGGCGTGTAAAACTTCTAACTTCTTCTTAACGATGAAACACGTGCTGTGTAGGTTCTCGGAAAAAAAAAACTAAACTAAACAGTATGCAGTTGTTCAGCTAGCATTAGCACGCGGTGCGCGTTTCTTAAAGATGTAGCCGCACAGGTTTCACGTGCTCCGCGACTCCGCGAGGAGGAGCCCGGCCGGAAAAATAAATGGCATTCAAGAATTGAATTTACAAGCATATTTGATGCCTTGCCACCGACACCGTTATTGATCCCGTTTTTTTTTTATGGAGGATCGATCCTGCTGGTTGTTGGACGAGCACATTCGACGTTCCCTCGGAGCGAGTGGCCGAACTGAAGGCCGCCACCACCAGCCAACCTATTCTATATGATTTGCTGGTCATGATCAGTGGCCGCTTGCACTGCACGTCGCCGTCTCAACCGGACTAGTCCAGCAGGGTCGGCTAGCTCCAGCCTTCTTTTCTTTTCTTTCATCAGCCTTCAGTATCCCAGTCCGTCCCCGGCCGGTCACGGTCAGTCAGCCCCTGCTCGATCCTTCCTTGCCAAGTTGCCATACCAGACGAGCACCTTTGTTTAGTTTACAAGGACGTCTCACGTATCAACGACGACGGGCGGATCGGACGCACGAGTCGGAAAACCAAACCAAACCCAGGCAACAAATTGAAGGAGAGCGAGCGGCGGCGACAGCGATGGCATGGGAATGGGATCCCAGGGAGGCAGAGGCGGGCACCCCGGCCAAGCGCCCAAGCCGCCACGGGAAAAGTAGGGGCGAAATTGACGCCGTGTGAACGCACGCCTCCACGGCTCCACCTCCACTGTCCACTCCACCACCCTCCCCGCCCCGCGACGGCGGCTACTACTCCGGCTGTCGCTTTCGCCTCCCCTTCTTCTGCTTCTTCCTGCACGCAGACACACTTTTCCGTCCTTGCATTGGATTGGATTCTCATTCGTTCTATGACGACCCGCGTGTCGTTGACATGCATTCGTCCGGTCCCAAGTGTTGGCTTCACTGGATAGACACCGTTAGTGTTAGTCGCCCTAGAAATTGACCAAATCGAATAGTAGTATTAGTTATTTGTATAGTGGGCTATGCATATTTGTAAGTCAGGACTCTCGTGCGCACGTGGTCTCGTCGCTGATTCCTTATTTACTACAGTACTACAGTATTGCATCCTTTTCGTTTGGACTGGTTTGGCTTATAAGCCATGGCTAAAAGTACTGTTGGCTGGTTTGGTGTGAGAGAAAAATATTATTCGTTGGCAGATAAGCCATGACTTATAAGTCGAATACGATCAAGCGAACGGACCGCTTGTCAGTATAAAATTACCATGTAATTGTCATCAGTAAGCATATAGAAGTACTCTTGTTCTGCAGAATGTGCCAAGCTAGTATCCCGTAACAATCTGGTGGAGGTGTGGCCGGCGCAGGCGCCACGCAGGAAGCGGGGAACGCGCAGCGGCGCAGGAAGCGAATGCGAACAGACACAGAGACGCCTGGGTTGCGGCGCTGCTGAAGTGCTGAATGAGGAGGATTAATTAGAACGCTAGGGTTTTCTTCTCTATATATTGTTTAATGACTGGATGGACCTACGTGTCATACTGGACCCATCGGGTAACGGGTTTGGGGTATACAAGAACGCACCCATACCCGCTTCACCCGATGGGTGAGGTAATCACCCAGTAACGTACCCATGGGGGGCAAAATCCCCCAAACCCGTACCCTAATAGGGTTTTTACCCGCGGGTAAACGGGTCGTGGGTACCCGTTGCCATCACTATAGGGTACGTTGTCTGAACCAGTATAAACCCTGTGTCATTGAGTGCTAGGCCACATCCGATCACAACGTACGACAAAACTACAAATATTTACGTGTTGGTCACTTTCTGCACCGACACACATACTAAGCTAGCTCTAATGACCAAGGTACTAAGCTAACTATCATCTTTACGAAGTAAAGTGTTGGGTTCAACTAACAAACACCAAGCTTTACAAATTAAGGATATATCTTTATTGGAACTAGTGATTTAATATATATTGAAACAAAGAGCATTTAACAACCCTAATGCTTAGTCTATTCTAAGGCTACAAAAATTATAGTGAGCACATAATAATACAATGAAGCTACTATAAAAATT